AAATAGCTATTTTGAAATAAGGCATGTGTAGATGCTCTGCTGCTGCTATTTCGAAATTGCCCCTCACCAGGGACATTCTAAGTTATTCCTCCCCAGTGCCTCCTGGGGCTCTAAATTGAGATAGCACGTCTACATGAGGGAAGCCTGCCACAGAGTAATTTTGAGGCTTCCCTGCAGTGTAGACATGCTATTTCAAAATAAGCTATTTGGGAATAACTATTCCAGAATAGTTTATTTCAAAATAAGCATGCAGTGTAGATGTACCCTACAACTCTGACCTTGCAACTACAACAGACCCGATTAAGGTCATAGACATCCACCTACACAGAGTCAGTGTCGATATCAGTATGTAAAACAATACAGAACAAGGGATGTAAACAAACACAAAGATGGGATTAGGTGGACCTAGTGTGCCTTGGCTACAAATAAAGCTGTGTGGATGCTAAGGTTAGTGATGAGAGTCACACACAGGGCTATCAATAAATAACATTAAGAATGCTTGGGATGGTGCAATTTTTATATTTATGTCTGTTTTCTGTTTCATACTAGCAGCAATAAACTGCAGTCACAGGATTTCGGAATGAATGCTGTACTTTTTAGGTGGTTGAAATCATTCAGCCTACAGACTCATGCTTGTAATGCTGACACATTATATTGTCACCCAGAAATGGACTGGATAGAATATCTACAAGCTTAATTCCCTATCCATTATGGTATTTAAGTATGAATATAAGTCCTAAGCACAGAAATATCTCCAATAATTAAGAAGAGTCTCTTTATATGCTTAAAATTATACATTTGCTTTAAGTATTTGGATGAACTGTTTCCTTAACTTCTGGTTTTGCACTTATATGGCTCCCATTGACATAGACCCAAAGCACCTCATAAGGATTATTTTTCTTTCCTCTTACAACACCCAAATTTATAGATTGAGAATTGAGGCACAGAGTTAAATGCACAAAGACACAATGGACCTCTATAGTGCAGTCAATCACCAAACACAGTTTTAAACTGCCCCATCATTGCTTTGATCACAAGACCATCCGTGCTTTCCTTTAATACTTGCCAGTGTTTAATTCTAAAAATTACCCAAACTAAAATGTAGCTGAGTCTGTGAAATACATTTTCTTATTAAATAATAACATAAGACCATAAGAACGGCCGTACTGGGTCAGACCAAAGGTCCATCTAGCCCAGTATCCTGTCTGCTGACAGTGGCCAGCACCAGCTGCCCCAGAGAGGGTGGACTGAAGACAATGATCAAGCAATTTGTCTCCTGCCCTCTCTCTCTAGCCTCTGACAAACAGAGGCCAAGGACACCATTTTATCCCTTGGCTAGTAGCCTTTTATGGACCTAACCTCCATGAAATTATCTAGCTTCTCTTTAAACTCTATTATAGTCCTAGCCTTCACAGCCTCCTCTGGCAAGGAGTTCCACAGGTTGACTACACGCTGTGTGAAGAAGAACTTTCTTTTATTAGTTTTAAACCTGCTACCCATTAATTTCATTTGGTGTCCTCTAGTACTTCTATTTAGGGAACTAATAAATAACTTTTCTTTATCGGCCCTCTCCACACCACTCATGATTTTATAGACCTCTATCATATCCCCCCCTCAGTCTTCTCTTTTCTAAACTGAAAAGTCCCAGTTGTTTTAACCTCTCCTCATATGGGACCCGTTCCAAACCCCTAATCATTTTAGTTGCCCTTTTCTGAACCCTTTCCAAAGCCAAAATATCTTTTTTGAGGTGAGGAGACCACATCTGTACACAGTATTCAAGATGTGGGCGTACCATAGTTTTATACAGGGGCAGTAAGATATTCTGGGTCTTATTTTCTATCCCTTTCCTAATAATTCCTAGCATCCTATTTGCCTTTTTGACCGCTGCTGCACACTGCATGGAAGTTCTCAGAGAACTGTCCACGATAACTCCAAGATCTCTTTCCTGATTTGTCGTAGCCAAATTAGCCCCCATCATACTGTACGTATAGTTGGGGTTATTTTTCCTGATGTGCATTACTTTACACTTACCCACATTAAATTTCATTTGCCATTTTGTTGCCCAATCACTCAGTTTGGTGAGATCTTGGAGTCCCTCACAGTCTGCTTCTGTCTTGACTATCCTAAACAGTTTTGTATCATCTGCAAACTTTACTACCTCACTGCTTACCCCTTTCTCCAGATCATTTATGAATAAGTTGAAAAGGATTGGTCCCAGGACTGACCCAAATACTCTTCTGAGGGCTCCAGTGAATTACATGGTTTGTTCCCATAGTATTTTTAGGTTTGCAGCAGGTTTCACTATCCTCAGACAAATTTAGCTTATTCCTTTTTTTGCTGGAGAACTGAATTTCTTATAGTACTATAAGTTTTGTAATAGAATACTGTCTAAAACTATTTATCTTAGGTAACCTGACTTTACAGAATCCAACACTTCCTGTAATGAGAGCTATGTTAGCATAGAGCCATCTACTGGATGCACATGTACATGCACTTGAGCACACACACATACACACACAATGCATGTGCTTAAATATGTAATGAATTACTCTTCAAAGGATTTGAAATTCCAAATTATTACTAGAATGTGTATGGACTGAAATATCCCAATAACAAACTATTTATAAATATGGTTGAAAACAATCCTTCCCACCACCATCAGTCAGACCTTGTACATGTTTCAGTATTTTCTTTTACAAAAGCTAATATTTGTCTCCAGAAGCAAAGTAAAGAACACTCCAAAAGGAGTTGTTAGTTACAGCAATATGAGTCAGCAAAGAATCCCAAAGATGTCTTTGGTTTTACTGGTTTGATTAGGAGAAAAACTCTGACTATGAATGTCAAACCCCCTGTTGTTTTTACAACATGGAAAATGGAAGCCATTGCAAAGGTTTTAATAATGAGAAGAAATGTATATGTAGTAATAAGTTTACTGCCAATACTGTGGTATTGTCTTTGTGCAAATTGGTGAAAAAGAACAATATGGCTGCTTTAAATCCCAGGCATTAGAAGCACCTTCCCAAATGTAGAAAATATAGCATTATGCCGATTTTAATATATTACATTTGATTTTAAGTACAGGTAACTCTGTCTGAGGGAAGTTATGACATTTTGTCTTCCCCAGTTTCTCAGATATTCAGCAGATAGATCTTCCCTGCTCATATTTGTTTGGGTGCTTCTTATTTGATCTTTGAGATTTTCTAGACACATTTTATTTCTTTGACAAAAAGTGAACATCCTTAGAGAAATCAGGAATCAGAACCAAGGCCCATGGAAGATGGTGATCTTAGCTTCTTTCAGGAAATGCTGACAAGTGCCTCTTTATTGTGGGGACTTGAATTTGTATCGTTAAAGTAAATTTCACTTTGTTTTCTCTAGTCTCTGGGAATACTTTTATTGATTTTTCTATGTAAGAAAAAAAAACAATTGTGACAACAGAGGCTAGTGTCATGAATGTTATGAGTCATTCATGTATAAGCACTCATGATTAAACTCTTCTTAGAAAGAATTAAAGGAACTCCATGCAGTAATCAAACCCAGATGATCATGATAGGGATTCTATGGATATAAAGCGCTCTCTGGATAGGCAAATACATGTTTCCTAAGGTTCCCTTGCACTGCAGAAAAAGTGGATAAAAAGTGAATTTGTAGCCATGTGACAGATGTTTCCTGTAATTTTTTCCATCCATGTGCAGAATAAATTTTGTTATGTGCACTGAAGCATGTGCCGATGTGCATTAGCAGAAGAAACACATGCACTCTGATAATTAGCTGGGCAGAATTTGACTTTTTCCTGGGTGGCTGCCTAAGCACTCAACTTTCAGGGAATCTTAAATGTGACCCTAGGGCAGGAGCTGTGGATTAGAGGGTTTCTCAGGAGTAAAACCAGCAGCTGAGGCAGGAAAGGGGAACAGTGTATGTAAGCAAAAATCAGATTCCAGTTAAGTCCAAGAGAGACAGAAACCCAAGACAGATGTTTCTTGATGATTGGCAGTGGTACCTTAGCTGGTGATTCTGCAAAAAAGCATTGCCTGTCTGTCATTTGTGAACACTTCTGTTCCAGGAAACAGGAGGTGTGAACATTCTGAAAATGAACAAGATACACTGAGAAGATACCCTGATTCCATTCCACTGATTATACTTTAATGGGAAACTAATGTACATAGCCCCCTAATCTATTACCGTTTAGCCAAGGGCAATAGTCTCTTTTTCATGTTGCTTTCCCAGTAGTTACATTAATATCTAAGCTATTTTATACCTTGTTATTGGAATTTTTTCCTCTATTTGGACATTAAAGCAGGGGTTTACACTTGCTGTGGTATGTATTTTGTATAGTTACAGTTGAAATTTTTTCTGTCAAAACTGTTTTTGACAGAATATTTGTTTTTTTGACAATTTTTGTGTGTGAAGAGTCTGCTTTTGATTGAAAATATTGGGGGGGCGGGAGTGAAAACTTCCAAAATCTGAATGCTTTGATTTGGATATCCTCCTGCTAGGACTCATGATAATTGCATTTTGATTGCCTCATGTCCCCATCTGACCCAGTTTCCCCAGCTGGACTACATCACCCAAGATGATGCATCACCATCACTCTGAGCCAGGGACCCTCATGATGCAACCACTTCATTTCACCATGATGCGGAGACTGTGGTGCATAATGGCTCATTTATTAGAGTAAATTCCTGGACTCATATGCTTAGGGCCTAAGAAATAATCACGGAAAAGTGTTCCTTTTTTTCCCATGAAATATGACTTGGTAGCAAGTAGCACACTTCTAGCCTTTGGTCGATGGAGTCTTGGATGGAGCAAGAACCCTGGTCCATCCCTGGGGCGGCCTGTGTATATTTATTGAACAGTATAAACAACTCTTTTATTACCTTCTGGTATTTAGTAAGATATCATTTCAACATTTGGGTGTATTGTTTTAAAACAGTCAAGCACTCCCTGTGGATTCTTTCTGGAATTTAAAAAAAAAATGTTGGGCAAGAAGGTTAGGTTTTTTAAAGGTTTTATCAAGTCAGGCAAACAGAAAAAACAAAAATTACAAAGCATTCAAACCCAGAAGCCATAGAATACAAACTACTTAATACTAAAAAAAAAATAATAATAAATCAAAACATCAATTTATTCTACAATTTACTTTACATTGGGTCCCTAAAGTATTTATGATCATACAGGCTGGACCTCCCTGGTCCAGCATTGTCGAGACACGAGAGAATTTGCGGGACCTGCTACTAACCCCCAAGCCCATCCCCCGCTGCTGGCAGGCTGCCCCAGAAGGCAACCCTACCTTGCCCTCCCCTCCACCCTGCCCAATTACTGCTGACTCCCTGAGCTGCCCAGGCTCCAGCTTCTGCCATGGGGCTCTGGCCCCACACAGCCAGGGGAAGCCTCAGGGCTGGGACTCCAACCCCATCTCCGTACAGCCCCAGCCCCGGTCCTGCACAGCTGGGGAAAGCCATGGGGCTCTGACCCCGGCCCCATGCAGCCCCAGATCTGGCCTCCCAGCCCCAACCTCACACAGCCAGGGGAAGCCCCAGGGCTCCGGGGGTTGCTGCAGGGACACTGATCCCGCACTCCTATGAGGCTCTGGCTTCTGCCACACACACTACTGTGGGGCTCCGGCCCCGGTCCCATCCTGCCCAGCTGGGCTGCTGACTCTGATGCCCAGCCCAAGCGGCCCTCCTGCCCTTAGGCTCCAGGCTCTCTGGTCCAGGAGCATCCATGGTCCTGCTGGACCAGGGATGTTGCTGGACCAGAGCGTGCTGGATTTTGGAGATACAACCTGTACTGGCATGTATTCAGTTAATAGTGTATTTACATTTGCTACTGTTACAATGGGCAAACACACTTTTTCCTGATTTTACAGATTCTACCACTTTGAAAGAGATTCTATATACATAAAAGGACTTAATCATGTGAGGTGCTGACTGCTCTCATCCCAATCTAGGCACGGTACTTAGAGGGAGCCTCGAGCAGTTTTGAACAGCAAATAACTTTGCGCACTCCCCCACTCCCTCGCCCCGATTGTCCTGAGGGAGTGGGGGTGTGCAAAGTCTCCTCCCCACTCCGGGGGTGTGAGGCACCAGAGGGAAGTGCCAGCTGTTCAAGGAAGCTGCTGCGCACCCCTAGCAGGGTGAGGGTGAGAGACTTTGCACACTCCCCCACCCCCAGGCCAATGGAGTCTGGTACCACTGGAGGGTGAGAAATCTCCTTTCCCCACCAGGGGCACGCAGAGCCTGGAGGGAACCACCCCTTCTGCCTGAGCCCACGTCTTTTCCAGGGGTGGACCTGGCCCGCAACCACTACCCAAAATGGTGAAGTGGCTCCTCTGCAAAAAGTTATTCCCCACCATGGTCTAAGGGCTTGACTAGAGTTTGAGTTAAGCCACAGGAGAAGGATGTGAATTCCATTTCAAAGGGGACAATGTTAACAAATAGTTGGGAACTTTTAATGCATGCTAAGAGGTCCATGTGGCCCATTAATGCACAACACACAAGTGCACACTAGGGATGTTTGAGTGGAAATGGCTAACTGTTTAACTGATAATTGGATGCTTATTGGCTAATGGTGTTGGTTACATTCAGCGAAGCTGCCTCCCGGGGAGTCAGGTGGGCAAAGGATTCCTCCTCTGCTCCCGGGGAGGAGACTTCACTGCTGCAGCAAAGCTTCCTCCCCAGGAGTTGGGTCTGCAGGGCTAGCGGCCCTGCTCCCGGGAAGGCTTTGCTGTGGGCTCTGCAGTACTTTAAAGCTAAGCTTTATACTGCAGAACCCACAGTGCAGGTAACCCTGTAACTGCTGAGATTTTCAGCAGTGACATGGTTACTCTATTACATGATTTTTAACATCCCTACTGCGCTCTATAATTTAGTCTAGGTGGACTAACTCACCATGTAGGCAAGCCCTAACTCTTATTTTCAAAAGAGATTTGGGCACTTGGGAACTTAAATCTCATTGATAGTCAATGGGATTTAGACTCCTAAGTACCTAAATCCCTTTTGTAAAGGGGATTTACATGTTCATGTAGTTTGCATTCCCCAAATACCTTTAAAAATCTGGGCCTAAGTGTTTTCCTGAATCAGAGTCTTAACTCCATGACTGTGAACACTTGAATTCAAGAAGAATGTCTATTGCTTGTAAGCAATATAGGGTTTAAACATTTGCTATTATTCATATTTCCCATCAGCATATACATCAGCAGGAGAAACTTCCAACAGTAGCTGTAAGTAACAAGTCAGTCTGTCAACAAAATCAAAATGTAATTTAAAATGTACAAAAGGCAGGTAAATCAGAAGGCCCCCCAACATAAAGAGAAGGGCGTAGATATATTGCACCTTGGGAGACCAGACTATAGGAGCCAAAACTAAAAACAAAGAAACTGCCACCATCCCAAATGCAACTGGTAAAAAAACCTGTGAAAGAAACAAATTGTTAGAAGAAGCAAACATAGACAGTTGCCATTTTATGCATTATAGGCAAGAGAACTAAAAACTCTTTGCCACATTGCAAGCACAATTAATTACCCTATCGTCCCTTTGCCTGGGGTTATGTCAGCAAAAGAATAACTCAAAGCTTCATCTAAAAATGAATTGTGAACTATCCATTTACAATTGCTGTTCACAAACTAGATGTTCAGGAATTTTCCCCCAATGTTAAACATAACCCAAGATAAAACGTTACAATTTTTAACTCTTTTCCCATTTACCTTGTATGGTCGCGGTAGGTTAGGTTCCCGGTATCGGAGTACAATCAGGCTGGCACAAGTCAGTCCAATCATAAGCCATACAGAAAACCCAAAATAATTTGTCAAAGTAATTAGATCAGCAGGGATAATAAAAATTGATGCAATGGTGGTTGAAAAAATCATGGCTGGTGCTGGAGTCAAATAGTGGACATTAAGCATGGATATTAAAACAGGCAAGTGTCCTGACTGACTTCCGGCATAACTTAATCTGCCCAGTGTAAACATGCTGCTGTTCAGAGCACCAAATATTGAGATAGCAACAGAGAGAGGAATAACCCAAGCAACGGAGGGGATCACTCTGTCAGCCCAAGTGACTGCCACAGCAACTGCAAGGAAACAAAATGTTATTAAAACAGTAGGCATTTTACTACTGATGACAATTCAATGGAATAGCTTTGTCAGAGTAAGAACTGGTGGGTAGAGAGGGTTCCTTGGTACTGTACAGTGAAAGTGGGCAGAAGCAGGAGATGAGTTCAGAATACAGTGGGGAGAACAAATGTGTTACCCTCTATATAACATGAGATTACTACTATTGGGGAACTCTCCCAGTATGCAGGGGGCAGGGACAGAACAGGTGTTTCATCAGCATACAAATCATCTAGTACTTTATCTCCGCAGTTCTCAGTTAGGGATACAGAGGTTCCTGGGGGGCTGCAAACAAGTTTCAGGGGATTTATCGTGCAGGGCTAGTCTTAGATTTGGTGGGGTCTGGGGCAGAATGCTAAAACCATGAGGCAAGTGCTGAAGCCTAGGACCCTGAGCCCTGCCATCCAGGACTGAAGCCAAAGCCTGAGCAACTTAGCTGCGCAGGACCTCCTATAGCATAGGACCCCAAGTAATTGCCTTGTTTGCTACCCCATAGCATTGGATCTGGCTTTAATAGTCAGAAAACCCGTTGTGGCACAGATGTGCAGTGGACTTTTTATAGCATGCTGACAAGGCCTCAGAAAGAACAAGGTTGAGAACTCTTACTCTATCCCATGGTGAAATTCCACAAAGAAATGTGAAGGGCTACTTCCCAGCAGCACCTTTTGCAAACTGACTGTTATTTACTGGGCCAACAACCAAAGTGCATAAGGTATTCAATACTACAGCGATGTGCACAGTATAAAAAGTTGATTTGAACAGAAAAAGGCATTGAGTGAATTTGCAAGAATTGCAGAAATGCATAGTCAAGTTTGAGAGATGAACTAAAAATTTTGGGACCAGAGCAACAGTTGGCATAGTTTGTCATCACAGGAATTGCTCCCATTTACTGGTGCTCAGTATATAATTTTGAATACTGTTTTTTTCTCTTAGGTTTTAGACTTGCTTTGTAGTTGTCCGCTTTTTTAAATCAGAAAATGGCCTGAGAACATGCAGATTAGAAGCTCTGGCTTGCTAAGTGATAGCTACCCCACTCACAGCACAGTTACTGAATTACTTTTGCAGAAGAGGAAAAGACTAGGTGCATGACACTTTTAGTATAGAGCCTCCTATAGAATGAGGACATTTATTGTGAAAGTTAACCCCTAAATAGGCCTGTAATAAGACAATTTTGTTTTATGTATTTATAGGCTTTTTCTATGGTGCTCCCTGATTACAAACATTTATGAATAATTCTGCAGTACCTTAAAGACTAACAAAAAATGTGGCTGGCATCATGAGCTTTTGTGGACACAACCCCTCTGAAACTTTTAAACGTTAATGAGTTTTGCCTGTGAAAGAGGGAGGTAGTGATCTAAAGCACAGAGGCTACGTCTACACTACAAAGAAAGGTTGGAAAAAGATACGCAAATTGCAGTTTGCAATTTGCATATCTTTTTCTGCTTTTCTTTCAAAAGAGGCTTTTCTAAAATTTGGCATGTCTACATAGCGCCAAATTTTGGGAAAACCTACTCTTTCAAGCCATCCCTTCTTCCTCGTAAAACGAGGTTTACAGGGATGGCGAAAGAATGCATCCACTTTTCCAATATTTTTTTTTTCAGAAAAGCGGACACGTTCCTTGGTTGCGGCATTGCTTTTCTGGAAAAGTGCTGCAGTCTAGATGTAAAGGCCTGGCCCTTCTTAAAAAAGAGCTCTGAATAAGCTCAAAAGTTTTCCTCTCTCACCAACAGAGGTAAGTCCAATAAAAGATACTGTCTTACCCTCCTTCTCTCTCTATCTTGGAAGGGACATGGCTGCAACCATGCCAGTTTTACTAAGCATATTTAAATTAAATAATGGCAATGTCTCTGCATAGACAAGCCCCAAGAAGTTTCCTCAAAGTGTAGCCCTGGAATTTTGTAACTAATAAGTCAGTTCGTTATAATGAATGTATTTTATAGCAAAAGGTTTGGATTAAACTTAAATACAAAATGTTGACAGGACAGGCAACTTTGTTAATCTACTCCAGCTCTGTTTGATGTTAGCATATTGAAGTGAAGAGACGGAATATTGTAATACATAGTGATGTTAATATTAGGCAAGGCCTCGTAATAGATAAAAAGAAGATTAATGTTGAAAGACTTTGTAAGTTTGTTAAAGTGACTAGAAGTACCTCCTTGTTCCATGCTGCAATTCTGTATGACTGGCATGATTTTCCGGAAATGCTTTTAACGGAAAAGTTTTCCGTTAAAAGCATTTTCGGAACAGAGCGTCTAGATTGGCACGGACGCTTTTCCGCAAAAGCACTTTTTGCGGAAAAACATCCATGCCAATCTAGACACGCTTTTCCGCAAAAAAGCCCCGATCGCCATTTTTGCGATCAGGGCTTTTTTGCGGAAAACAAATCTAAGCTGTCTACACTGGCCCTTTTGCACAAAAGTTTTGCGCAAAAGGACTTTTGCCCGAACGGGAGCAGCATAGTATTTCCGCAAGAAGCTCTGATTTCTTACAGTAGGAAGTCAGTGCTTTTGCGGAAATTCAAGCAGCCAGTGTAGACAGCTGGCAAGTTTTTCCGGAAAAGCGGCTGATTTTCCGGAAAAACTGGCAAGTCTAGACACAGCCTATATGTATTGTTTGTGTGAATGAGAGAGAGAATGTTTTAGGAGAGATAAGTGTGAAGGCCACTGCATGCTCAAATAGTCAGAAGAGGGACTGGAGACTCAGAAGCACCAAATAATTATCAACTAAGTGAAAGCACACTAAAGACGCAGACTACCGGGGCAGACTGATGGACCCTGAAGTTAGTGGCAAGCACCCTTTGATAGGGAACCGATAACAAGTCTCGCCAGAAGACAACACCTAGGAGGGGTCATCAGCATACTGATAGCAGATGACTGAGAGAACAACCTCCAGATAAACATATGTTGCAGAAAAACTGATTGTGATGCTGAATGATTTATTAAGGCCTGACCAGGCAAAATGCATAGACTTGCATGGAAGGAAAATCCTATATAGGATCGGGCATCTTGTATGGTTCTTCGGGTTCCCATCCTGCTAAGACTATGGAGCATCAGTACAGACTAACAAGAAGCCAGCTCCTTCCTCGCACCTGACCTATCTGGCCAATAGGTTGGGCCGAGCAACAGACTGGTAACTATTCTATCAGCAGGATATGGGTGTGTGTGTGTGTAAATGAATATGCTACTTTGCTATATTATCAATAAATGTGGCGTGTTGCCTTATCCCCCTGAAAAAGATCCCGTGTGCTTCTTATAAGCATAACAAAAGTCACATACGAAGTCTCCGTTAAAGAATGTCTATTTGAAAGCTGTAAGCAAGTGTCCCAGCCCAGCCAGGCACACTCACGCTACAGTGGCTAGAGCTAGTGCACAAAAATAGCATTAGCTATTCACATTGCAGCTCAGGCTGGAGCTCAGGCTCTCAAGCTCACCCAAAACCCTACGCTTGAAAGCCCAAGCAGCAGCACCTGTATTGCTATTTGTAGCATAAGCTTCAAGGGGTAGCTGAGTTAGTCTGTACACGTATACTGAAAAAACAACAAATGGTCTGGTAGCACTTTATAGACTAACAAAACATGTAAATGGTAGCATGTTAGCTTGACACCCACTAGCACAAGTCTGTCTGCCCTGGCTAGAGGCTTGCATCCAGATGTCATGTAGCTATACTCTTAGGCTACGTCTAGACTGGCATGATTTTGCGGAAATACTTTTTTAACAGAAAAGTTTTTCCATTAAAAGTATTTCCGCAAAAGAGCGTCTAGATTGGCAAGGATGCTTTTTTGCACAAAAAGTGCTTTTGCGCAAAATCATCCATGTCAATCTAGATGCGTTTTTGTGCAAGAAAGCGCCAATGGCCATTTTAGCCATCGGGCTTTCTTGCGCAAAAAATTAAGGTGCCTGTCTACACTAGCCCTCTTGCGCAAGTATTCGTGCGCAAGAGGGCTTATCCCTGAGCAGGAGCATGAAAGTATTTGCGCAAGAAGCACTGATTTTGTAGATTACAAAGTCACTGCTCTTGCGCAAATTCAAGCAGCCAGTGTAGACAGCTGGCAAGTTTTTGCCTGTCTAGACGCACCCTTAGGGCTTAAAACAGAAGCCAAATCTCCTGACTCAAAAGTCCTGTGTCTTACTATATGTAAACCCTGAATTCAGCTGAACCCTAGAAACCCCAATAGAATGGACATACATTAATAGTTATAATAATTACCTCTTCCATCAGCCAAACAGACATATATCCTTACCTGAGGAGACAATTTCCTTAGGTGTCAGAACTGTCAGGTATGAGATGTTAACCAGTAAATAAAACAAAGTCACTGCAGGAAGTGCAGTCATCACAGTCAAGGGGATATTTCTACTAGGATTTATCATCTCTTCTGAAAAATATAATTTATTTAATAAAACAATATACTCACAAGATAGCTTTTGAAAGCACACTTCCCTGACAAGTTTGATAGAAATAAGGAGCAAATTTCTGGTATGCTTCACAAGGTAACAGAGGAGAAAGAAAACGATGACTGTGAAACCATGAAAATTGGCAGAGGTAGTACTTGGTGACACTTGTAACTGCTTTTAGTAAGAGTTGGTCAGAAATACAGTATATATGAAGTGTTCTTAAATGCACAAAGCAAACAAACGGAAAAGCTTTACAAAGCCCTAACCAAGTATATGTTGAGACAGCCATTTATTTTTAATAAATCTTGTTTTGTTGAAATACATGCTCTCTGCATCCTGCTCCATTTTTGAAACAACCATCACTCAGGCAACGTAGTCAAGAAGGTCTTAACGTGTAAAGACTTTCTGGACCCTAGACACTTTTATTCTCATCTCAGTCAAAAGAGCATAGACTGAAAGGTTGCATAAAGCATGTTCATAGGCAGCTCTCAAGGACCAAACAGCCTAAGGGTGTGTCTAGACTACAGAGTTTTGTCGACAAAAGTGGACTTTTGTCGACAAAACTATACCTGCGTCTACACTACCGCTGAGTTCTGTCGACATAACGTCGACAGAACTCAGCAGTTTTGTCAACGCTGGTAAACCTCATTTTATGAGGCATAACGCCTTTTGTCGACAGAGTTCTGTCGACAGACGGTGTTATTGCATCTAGGGTTGTGTCTAGACTACGGGGTTTTGTTGACAAAGCAGCTTGCTTTGTCGACAGAACCGAATGTAGTCTAGACGCTCTTTGTCGACAGAAGCTTTGTCGACCATATCTGTCGACAAAACTTCTGTCGACAAAAGCCTGTAGTCTAGACGTACCCTAAGAGATGTGGAAGTGGCCTATTACTAGCAGTGGTGGGAGATTCTTCCCCACCTCCCCCCAAAATCTTCTCTGTTTTTGTATAAAATCTTACACCCAAAACTGCACACAACTCTGCCTGCCACAAAGCCCCATTGATTTTAATGAGCTTAAAGGCAAATCTCAAGCAACATCAATTGGAGGATTTGGGCTTTAGTTAAAAACCATCTAATATGTAGCAAATTGCTTTTGATATTTTAAACTATCAAAAGGCAGAATACTTAGAACCCCAGTTTTAATTTTTGTCTCCCAACTTTTGTTTCATCAGCAACATGCCTGGCATTAATCTTAGATTGAATTCATTGGCTCATGGCAGATAAGGGTAGAAACCATTGTTAAAAAAGAAGAGAATTCACTGTAAGAAATTATTTCAGATGTAGGTTGACAACAGTTGCAGCTTCTAACTGTTATCAAATATTTTGTATGGAAGCAGTAGTAAATGAATCTAAACAAATTAGAACATTATGAAAAAAAAAACCTGTGTTGAATTGTGTTAAAATAAATCATTGTCTGTAGTGCAAAAAAAATCCTAATGTGACTTCAAAATTAAAATTTTAACTTTTTTTAAAAGAGGAGAGAGAAAAGCTTTTGCCTACAGCATAGTCTCATTAAAAATAAGAGTTTCTACACTGTTATTTTTTAAAACATTAACTAATTTTTCATATTCCTCTTTCTACTAACCTTTGTCATACAGTAGTTTAACATTTGACTCATAGGAAAGGACAAAGCTAACAAGGAACGTTAAAGACTAAAGAACAAAAACTGAAGTACATGGTTTGATTCTGCAAAACTCTAATTCATGTGAGTAGTTCCAGTGTTCATGATTAACTATAATATCATGAACACCTATCATGTACGTTTGTGATAATTGCTCATATTATAAGATATTACTGGAAAGTGGAATAAATATCTATAGATATATTCATTTTAAAACATTAAGGAAGCCCTTGTTTTTGGTTAGACATTTGGGGTATGTCTAGACTACATGCCTCTGCTGACAGAGGCATGTAAAATAGGCTACCCGACATAGTCACTGAAGCTGGGATTTAAATATCCCCGGCTTCATTAAAATAAAAATGGCTGCCGCGCTGTGCCGGCTCAGCTGATTGTCGGTACAATGCGCGAGTCAAGACGTGGATTGGTTGACAAAGGGAGCCTTTGTCAACCGCTCCTGTAAACCTCATTTTACAAGGCATAATGGAGCGGTCGACAAAAGCTTCCCTTGTCGACCGATCCGCATCTTGACTTGCACGCTGTGCCAATGATCAGCTGAGCCGACACTGCGTGGCGGCCATTTTTATTTTAATGAAGCCGGGGATATTTAAATCCCAGCTTCAGTGACTATGTCGGGTAGCCTATTTTACATGCCTCTGTCAGCAGAGGCATGTAGTCTAGACATACCCCAAATGTCTAACCAAAAACAAGGGCTTCCTTAATGTTTTAAAATGAATATATCTATAGATATAGATATCAATAGCACAGAAATGATGTTTATAACATTTCCCTAACTCTTTTCCTTTACTTTTTTTAAGAATTATTTTCCCAGAGAAATGATCAGTTCTTATGCAAATCAACATGGATATGATTAAAAGAATTGTTTCTGAATGCAATGCAAAATGAAATAGGCCATGCACTCATGAAAATAAGCCAATCAAGGCACAGGAACTGGCTTCCTCTGGGCTTGGAAAGTGTGCTCAAGCTGTTCCACTTAGCACCAGACCCTGTCCCACTTCTTCCCCACCTCTTTCTGCCCTCTCTCCTAAGCAAGCCCTTTGCCTACTCCTCCCACTTCCTCCCAGAACCACCTGCATGCTACAAAACATCTGACTGCAACAGACATTAGGCATTGGGAGGGAGAGAAAGGAGTCAATCAGCAGGACCACTGACAGGCAGGAGGTGCTAAGAGAGTGGTAGGGAGCTGACTGTCAGTGGATGCTAAGCACCCACTATTTTTTTCCATGGGTGCTCCAGCCCCAGAAACCCACTATTGTTGGTGCCCATGATTCAAGGGTGTTCATGAGTATGCTTTCGGTATGCACCCTGGGTGGCTGAAGACACTCAGTCTTGACATTCATACTCTGCTTTGCATACCCACTTGTAAATAATTGCAGTAGCATTGGGAGAGGGAAATATCACTGGGTTAGGTCCTCAATTTGTATTTGCATATAGATTTAAATTAAACCTTTCATTTTCCACATTTGTCCTTTTTAAATATGCATCTAGTTCTGGAGACATTAAATCAGAGGTGAAAGTAATCAGGTGCGCCCTGTGCGCAGCTCCAGCAAGAGCTGGCTGAGCTGCAGCAAAAGCCAGCAGGGAGCTATCTAAAGAGCAGGCAGGGAGCTGAGTTACAATAGGACAGTACCTGTAAGAAATTTTAAGTTACTGTCACCAATGAATTAAATGAACATTAAGCAAATAAACTGCATGAAAGAGGACAACACATCTTTAGAACACATGCAGAAACAAGCCTTGGATATAGCCAGTGTTTGTCTTAATAGACTAAATTGTTCCCATTCAGAAACAAGCTCTAATAACATTATCTGAGAAACTTAAGAATGTTGGCCACAACATTAAATGTAAAAAACTGGAGATATACCTGCCATGTAATTGAGGGACCACCAACCGCCATATGCATATAATCCCTGGAAGAAAGCTTCTGCAATCTGTGAAGCATCAGGAATCTCTGAACTGAATGCGTTTTCAAACCTTGCTAAATTCTCCTTTCTTCCTCTAACCAGCAGGACAATGCCACCTATGGCGATTACAGATAGTGCCATCATCTTCAGTATGGTGAAAACAGTTTGAACCCAAGTAGCCATTTTGACACTTCGGCCATTCAGAATCCCCAGAGACCAAAGAACTGCCAAAGCCATGCATTTCTTTAGCAGCTCTGGTACAGGGCATGTACCATAGAAAGGTCGGGTAGCATATTCAGCGAACAACAAGGCTCGAGTAGCATTTGATGCTGGTTTGGTAAACACTGCTGTCCAGATAAAAATGAAAGCAGGTAACGATCCAAGTGCTCTTTTTATGTGACTGTATTCTCCTCCAGATAGAGGTAGAGCAGTTCCCAGTTCTGCATAACAGAGGGACCCCATCAGTGATATTACTCCACAAGCAGTCCAGATGCTTAGTGCAACACCCACATTAAGTAAGGAGTATTTTAGCACTCCTGTGGGAGACACAAAGATCCCTGCACCTACTATGGTGCCTATAATAAAATTTACCCCATCAAAATACCCTATAGTTTTTTTGAGCTGCATCTTGTCATTTTCAGTACTTCTCACTCCTTCTTTGAGATGGTCATGCTTTCCTTTTCCCATTTTCTCTCTCTGTTCTCAGCTGATCATAGGGGCTTGAGAAGCATTCATTTATCTTATCTGTGGAGGTGTTATTAAGTTAACCCAACCTTATATGCTAGTGAAATGCTTCAGGAAGATTGGCTTAATCATTCAGAAGACAAAGCCTTCTTTGGGATTTTTTATGTTTAATGTGTTATGATGATTAACTAAGTGTTGCAAGAAGAACTTTGTATCAAATGGCAGTATAACCTTGTACTTCACAGGTTGTGAGGGTTTTTATTAAGCAACTGGCACCATTATAAATGAACAATAAATACTTTCTTCTGTAATGCCTTCCATCAAAGGGTCTTAAAACATTTAACGGCTATTAATAGTAAAACTACTCTGTGTAGTAGGTAAATATGTTTTTACAAATGAGAAAACTGAAACAGAGTGGTTAAATAAGTTACCCGGTGTCAAATGTGAAGTGTTCCTGTGACAGAAAATGAAAGTCTGTCCCCCATTTATGCACATCAACTACATTGAAAAATTATATTATGGATGAAAAGTCAAGCACTCAAAAGCTAAGAAATTCCAGAATAAAGATTATCCGTGGAACCACCTTCTGCATATGCTTTATGATTGTTTTTAAATGCATCATCACTTACATTTTTCCAACGGCAGGATCCCTGTCTCATTTGCTGCACAACTTCTATTGAGGATATGCAAACTTCAGTTTTTATAATTTAATTAAATTTGTGCTGATTTTTCCAGGAGACTTCAAAAGACATGTCCCTGCCCTAATGCCACCCTTTTGCCTATTTCAAGTCCCTGCTCTACACAGTCTAGAGAGGAAAAAATTACCACAGTATCTTAACATGGAAAAAACAACATATTTTTCCCTAGCATTGATTGATGGTTGAAACATCTTAACTGAAATTTTCTCAAAAAATTCAGCCAGCGATATACATACAGCATTAAAAATTGCAACACAAATAGTTTAAATTTAGCAAAGTTATGGGTTCTTCTAGTGGGAAGTGATGGGAGACCTTTATAATAGGCTGTACTGCCGGCAGCACCAAAAATGATAGTCGATGGATGAATGTTTTAGAAAGCAACTAAACACAAATTGACACAACACATGGAGTAAACACATTTCCCAAGCACACTGAATAGAGCCATGCAGGGCTGGCCTTACCATGAGGCAAACTGAGACGGCCACTTCAGGTGCCAGACTATGTGGGGGGGTGCCCTTAGGATCCAGAGTGTAGAAAATTGTGTCTGTTGCTTGTGCATATGTATTCTCTCTGCTCTAGATGCACAGAGATGGTGGAGTGCTGTGCTGGAGGAAGGAGGGTACAAGAGACATAACAAGCAGGCAGGAGAAAAGGTGGCATGGAGGTGTCATTTGAGCTCCCAGCCTCAAGTGCCAATATATTGTGGGCAGACCCTGTAGCCGTTAAAACAAAATGGCAGAGCTATCATCAAAACCACTGCATCCATAACTGAGCTTGAATTTTACAAGCTATATTTGAAATTGCAGTTGTGGTGGCCAGGCAAACTGAGCAATGGAGGCACTTCAAAGATATGCTGAAAGTACACCTTTAAAAGGAAGGCATCAGCTCAATAAACTGGGGGGACTCGGCATAGAACACAACGCAGAGGTGCCACTCCATACACCAAGTTACAGCTCACTTTAAGGAGAACAAACATGCTCATAAGACAGAGAAGTGACGGAGGAAAGAAAGGGCACTACACTGCAGCCAACAACTATATCTCCTTTAGGATTACAGTTGTCACTTATGTGGCAAAATCTTCAGGGCACTAATTGGGCTCTACAGCCACCTAAAAATCCATGAATGAACCCCCCCTGAAAGATACTATTCTTGCATCAGGGAATAGTCAATGAAGAAGATAAATCTGGATATGTTGAGAGAACTGTTTATTTTGTGCTAAATTATTTTCTGTCTAGTATTTAATAAATCTCGTTTTAGAGAAGTGGTGCAGTATAATTCTTAACTTTCACCCAGTCCCATCTCTGAAGAGAAAATACATATGTAACCTCATGGATCACAGAAAAAAAACTTCTAAAATTTAAAGACCCCACTGTCATCTTGGTCAAAAGGTGGAAAGCATCCACTCCCAGTAAAGAATGCTATAGAAGGTTAGGACAATTAATCCAGGTAACCCATAAGTGGAATACACACAAGAGACCAAAGAGGAGATGGAGATGGAGTTAGCTTTGGTGATAGTATGACTGAGCTATGATCAAAGAATAGAATTAGACCTGTAATCTGTGAGTAAGAGTGAAGAGAACTCAGGGTATGTCTATATAGCAGCATTTTTTGCGTGTCTATACTATAAGCTTTTTTTCAAAATAATGTCGAGCTGGAGGACTTTTTACTCCAACTCCTGTAACCCTCATTTCATAAGGAGCAAGGGAAGTCGAAGGACGAGTGCTCTTCCTTTGACTTCCTGCTGTATAGACAGCGCCAAAAGCTGAGTTAAGCTGAAGTTACATAGCTTAATTTGAGTTTAGCCCTGCTGTGTAGACATACCCATGGGGAGCTGTTTTAAAGGCTAGTAACAAACAAATAGGGAAGTCAGTGGTGGACACTATCTCAATATGCTGCCTTTTTTAATGTGTTTTGCTGTTCATCTTAAATTATGTTAATTTCCTGTACAGTATTGGTGTGTCTACAATTTACAGAAAAAAAAACAATTAATTTAGATTTTATTTAATAATTTATGCTCCTAACTGGCTTCAGAAAACCCCAATGAGATTATCTTGTTACATTTTTACTATATTTTTAATGAAACTTTTTAAGTTTTATGAAAAGTACATCTTTTTATTTTTGTGTGTTGTCATAGTAGGAGGTAGAGAACAATCAGAATGTGTCTACAAAACTGATGAAAATTAAACTTCTGGAGACTGTTGACTTCAGAAGCTACAAACCAGAACACTAGAGGACCTCAGTGAGTGTACAATTAGAAAATAAAATTCGTTTTTAAAGGATCCAGCAAGTAAATTGCATTTTTCCTCAGTACATAAAAGCAGAATCATTATCTATTAAAGACTAAATTGCCTTTTTCTTAGTATATAAAAGCAGAATCATTACATATTAAAGACTAAATTGCCTTTTTCTCAGTATATAAAAGTAGAATCTTTATTAAAATTTACTTATGCCAAGATTCCAGTTCTACAGCATGTTGTGATTATGTAACATCTTGTCCCGACTGAAAAAACAAACCTGACTGCCAAAAATGATTATTTGTAACATTAACTCAACGTCTCATATTACCCTTTCCGCATTATACACACAAGACCTGATCCTGCACTGGATACCTAGCTCTATAACATGACCTTCCCACCACCGTCTAGACTCTAGAGCAGTGGTTCCCAAACTTTTCGGCATTATGCCCCCTTTCTAAGTTTTGAAAAACCCTCACGCCTCCCCCCCGCAAAAAAAAATAGCAGCAAAACTTATTGAGAAAAAAAAAAAAGAATTGACCGGGGCAGCAAAACCTGATGGGGGGGGAGGGGCGGAGAGGCTGGGTCGCCTCGTGCTCCCTCTGGAATTTCTTCATGCCCCCCAGTTTGGGCACCCATTCTCTAGAGACTTCATGCTCTGGCTCCAGATACAGGATAAAGATAAGAAACTATAATAAATAATCCAGTGGATGTTTCTAAGCCTGAGTATTCCCTAGTACTTTATGTAGGTTGAAAGGTTATATCATCATTAAAACAAAGTGTTCAACGGGCAACAACTATATTTATTTGAGTGCCAACTAGTAAGCTGCTTCTGCCAATAAATTGAGCCCATGGGAGCTTTATGTCATAGTTAAGATTTATGTTGGAACCTTAACTGAGCAATTTCAGTTTTCCTGGATTTTATGTTTTGAGAACCACAGCCTTCTAATTTCTTGACCTTCAAATGTATTTAAAGCTTACGTTTGAAATTCCTCACTATCAAGTTCTGGTTTCTTGAAATAATTGTATCCTTCTAATAGTATAGTTTTAATTACATTAATGTACAGGACTTACTCTTTCTTAAAGATGTGTGTGGAAGGGGTAACTATTTTAGTCACCCAAAGAGAAGCATAGGTACTATGCCCTAGTTTTATGTACTTTTGTTTCAATCCACTTTGACCAACTTTATAGTTTTTAATAAATATGTATGGCATGTATATAATGGGACATTCCTGTATTACTTACTTACTTACTCACACACACACACACACACACACTTTCTCTCTCTCTCTCTCTCTCTCTCTCTCTCTCTCCAGCATTATGGGCCAAATTTTGTGATCACTTATCTCCTAAGCAATCCCATTGATTATATTGGAAGTGGCTGGATGTAAATCAGGGCAGAATCCAGTTCCAAAGCTGTAGTGAATATTTCTTTTTGTGCAGTGTTTCTTTAAATAAGTTTTTGTATTTGTTATTGTAATTCAATGGAGATACAAGAGCACGAGGAATGAGAAAGGACTGAAGAAAGAATGTAGATAGAAGAAAATGTTCAGTCTTCAATGCAGACTCATGGGCAGTTAGTTCTCTAGTAATCTGTCAAAAAAGAATACATCCCATCTATTTCACCTTTTCAGTTCATTTCTTATGAGTAATATACAGTGCTAAAGCTTTACAATTTCCTTTCATTTAGTGAATGACCTCAAAGGAGCTCACCAGCACTTCCACAATTTCGTTAAGTCCCCACTGTAAAGAAGTCAGTTTGCTATCTGCCATATTGGGCTCCATGGTGTATTAAAGACTGTTTTATTTAAAAAATTGAATTGTCATTTAAACTAGTGTCATGGCAATTTGCTTCTTTTCTGGAGTTCTGCCAAAATTAGTGTACATCTGCCTTTTTACTAAGTGACTTAACCTATATTTATCTTGGCAAATACCAGCTGTGTCATTCTGTATCATTGCTGCTAAGGAAATATAGGTCATTAGCTTAATAGCTAAATCAGAGAACATCTACAAAACCAGCATCCCACAGAGTTCAAACAGCCAACCCTAAAGGATATCTCGATGTTTTGTCATCCTGGAGCATATCCCTTCATATTACATAGACTATCAAAGAAAATTTGCATAAACTGCTATAAACAAGAGCCATATCAAACCTTTCTTGTTATGTCATGCTGTGTAAAGTCAGAAGGAAAATGAGAAAATATGGCTCATGAACCTCTCCACAAGTCTGTTGTACACTTTCTGCACCAGGTATTTCTGTTGCACAGTAAGGATGTAGTGAAGATTTCCAAGTGAAAAAAATGTGTGGTCAAATATCTGTCCAGGAAAGTATTTTAAAAGGGCACTAACAACGCACTGATATTGTTTAAAAAAAATAAAAAAATAAATAAAAAAAGCCGCAGGCCTTGCAAATAAAGAGCATGGTAGTAACTACAACCCAAACTTGCTGAACTGCTGGTTAATCAAAATTCACTTTTAACCAATTTTCTCCTTATGCCCCATAGCTGTACAATAATGCCCACTGGAAAAACATAAAAAAACAACAAATAATCTTGTAGCATTTTAGAGATTAAGAAAACATGTGGATATTAGTCTCTAAGGTGCTACAAGAATATTTGTTGTTTTTTAAGTTTTCCCAGTTACAGACTAACTCAGCTACCCCTATGAAGCTTTTATAATGTCCACTATTTGTCAACTGAACTCCGGGATTCCCAAAATGCATCCCTGCCCCAGGTATGTCCTGGCCTAAACAAGGCAGCTAGCATGCATAGAAATTGGGGGAACTGGCTAGCAGCCTTTGAACTTAGCATTCCAAGCAACGAAGAGGGTCCTGACAATTTGTGGGCTGGTAGGGAACTCTTTGAATAGATGTGTGGTTGTACTAGTATTTCAGATTACAAGCCTTAAGGGCTGTGTCTACATTGGCGCAATCTTGCGCCAAAGTGGCCGCTCTTGTGCAAAAACTCGCTGCCTGTCTACACGGGCCGTGTGTTCTTGCGCAAGTAAACTGACGTTCTACTGTATAAAATCAGGGCTTCTTGCGCAAGAACTATGATGCTCCCGCTCAGGAATAAGCTCTCTTGCGCAACTGTTCTTATGCAAGAGGCCAGTGTAGACAGGCAACATGAATTTCTTACACAAGAAAGCCCTATGGTTATCTGGCGAAAGAGAGCGTCTACACTGGCAGGGATGCTCTTGTGCAAAAGCACATCTCTTGTGTAAACGCACATGCCAGCGTAGACGCTCTCTTCTAGAAGAGTTTTTGCACAAGAACTCTTCCGCAAAAGAGTTCTTGTGCAAGAAGCTGCCTGTGTAGACGTAGCCCCAGAGTATAAAAAAACTCGTGTGAGCATGAATCTTTGAAATGTGCAATATTCAGGTATGGGCATGACTCAGGTGCCAGAGTTATCAAGTAGTTCAGCTCTTGGATTCAAGTGATGACATAAGAATTTACGGGTGGGGGCACAGGAGGAGAGTAAGGCTATGTCTACACAGTAGCTTTCTTTTGGAATAACTGAAATTATAACGAAGAGCATGTCTACACTGCAAATCACTCCGACATCTGTAACCCTTATTATTTTATGTGGAGTAAGGAAAGTTGACTTTCTGCTGTGAAGACAGCACCAAAAGCTAAATTAAGCTATTTCGACTAAGCTATGCAATTGACATAGCTCTAGTCACTTAGCTTAAGTTGACTTTTGCCCTGTGTAAACATGCCCTAAGAATCTACCTCTTTGTAATTGTACAGGAAAGCTAGACAGTGTGAGCTCTGGTCCTAAAGACTCCAGAAACTAAATGCAAATGGAAAATCCCCCCCAGATGTTCCATAAATTGCAAGGTTCATCCCCTGGAGGCTAGTCTAATTTGCCCACAGAAGAGAGTCACATTTTTAGGCTGGGTCCAACTCAATTTTATTGTTTGCAAACAAGGTTCAGCTAAGAAGCTCAGTGCTCAAAGCAAAGCCGACCCCCAGCATCGGGTAAGCAAGGGGTCTTATAGGGTTAGCATCCTTCCTGGTTTATGTGCCTTAACATGATTGGTTACCTTATTTTGCTTCTAATATCCTTGGAAGTCAGGTTTATCTCCAAATAAGGTTAGCTGCACTATGCAAACCTGCTGACTCCGAGGTTACAGTTGTTTGTGTAAGGGGACTGTTACCCCTTACTAAAACTCTGTGGGAGTTTTTTGGTTTACCAGCTTCAGAAGGGGAAGGGTTCATGAGACTGACAGACCCCAGAGACAATGGAAAGCAGTCAACACTCCAGCTCAGCCTGACTGACAGGTTGTAAGTGGGGATTGTTCTGGCTCTCTCTCTGAGCAAACAGGGAGCTGAAAGAGCAGAGCGAGCTGTGTGCAGGAGAGGTCCTGCAAAGACAGAGATCTGAAAGAGGAGTACAAGAAGAAGTCCTGCAGCGACAGAACCAGACACAGACAGGCCAAGCAGTGCAGACCCTGTGTTGAGCAGCAGACTGGCAGTGCTCAGAAAGCCAAAAGGAACAGAGAAACAACACAAGGAGCTGGAACTGGCCAAGCAGCACAGCCTGCAGCTGGATGTGGTGAGCTACTGGGACCTGCAAAGTGTGGGGAAAGGCTCTGGACTGGGAGAGGGGTCTGGCCACTTAAGAGACTGAGGCTGTGTGGTCACTGCCAGTGCAAGCGTGTCCAGCCTGCAGCCCTTTGCAGCACATCCAGGGCTTCTAAGGAAGAGACTGTGGACTGTCCTTACACCCTGCAGACTGCTGTTTTGATGTCCCTGTGCTACAGAGCAGGGCTGTGTGTTCTCATTTAACCATTCTCATTTTTTTCTTATTCTTTTCTCTTTAATCCGTTGTTGTTTAATAAATTGTATTTGCTTTGAACCTTATGAAGTGATCACTGGGCCAAGAAGGCCTGCAGTGTAAAGAGAGCACCTCGGAGTGGGGACACCCTAACTCCTGCCCCTAGTGACTACAAGGTCAGGGATTAAGCCCCAGGAAACCTGGGCCCAGCCTTGTTGGGGTTTCAAGGGCTCTGCTACTCAGGAGAGTGGAGGGGGAGCCCTCAGGATCAGGGAGGCCGTAGAGTAAAGAAAGTGGGAGCGGGGACTCAGATCCTTTCGCTGGTTCATTTCACCGGGGTGTATAGAAGCCAGGAAAGTTCCCCACAAGAGCGGGACCATTCCCCCTCTTACATTTGTTACATTTATTCGCTTGCTGAACAATAGGGGGTTACACTTCCTACTTGACCCTGTCACCAGTGAAATATAGATCTACATTCTTACTCAAGCAGGAAACTGGTTTCATTTCCTGCTACACAGTCACTATAACAAACTCCTGATTTAGGGGTCTGGCGGTTGAAGGCAGAGGATTAGCAATGCTCATCTGTTACACCCGGGGCACCACAGCGCCGCCTCGCACGAGCTCCCTGATTACAGGGATCAAACCAGGGGCTACAGCGAGCGGCCACCGCTACACTAGGAGCCCTCAGGGCTCCCAATCACGCCGCAGCTCCCCGACCAGTGACCAACACAAGGGCAGAGCCACGTCCCGCTTGTTAACGCGCATGCTCAGAAATAAAGGCCTCGGCACGCGCCCAACTGGGAGGGGAGGAGGAATCGCACACAGTCGGTGGCGGCGGCGGGTTGTTTTACGGCAGTGTGTCGTAACGCTCCCTGAACTAGCAGTGAAGTGTCGCACTCACGGATGCCGTTGGGTGTGGGAGATTTAAAGTGAAAGGCGCCAGACTCCGCGTCGGGGCCCTGGGCCGGCGGTAGCATGGCGGGGGCTGGCGCCGTGCCTGGGGAGCTCAGCCTCATGGACAAAGGCATTGGGAGGTGAGGGCGGAGCCGCTGCTGGGGAGCGAGGGGCACTGCCCGCAGGAGCGCGCGCGGGGTGGCGTTGCCCACTTGGCGCA